CCCCCCCCCGCTCCGCAGGGAAGCGGGACAGGGAGGCGACACCCTCCGAGGAAGCCCGGTGGCCCGGTACCGGGCACGGTGGTCTCCCCGCGGAAGATGGACATGGACCTGTTGGAGCGAGTCCAGAGGAGGGCCATGAAGATGATGGGAGGGCTGGAGCGCCCCTCCTGAGGTTGAGAGAGTTGGGGTTGTTCAGCCTGGAGAAGAGAAGGCTCTGGGGAGACCTTACAGCGGCCTCCCAGTAGCTAAAGGGGACCTGCAGGAAAGATGGGGAGGGACTGTCTATTAGGGAGCGCAGTGATAGGATGAGGGGTAATGGTTTTAAACTGAAAGAGGGTAGATTTAGAGGAGATATTAGGAAGAAATTCTTTACTCTGAGGGTGGGGAGGCACTGGAACAGGTTGCCCAGGGAAGTTGCGGATGCCCCATCCCTGGAAGTGTTCAAGGCCAGGTTGGATGGGGTTTTGAGCAACATCTCCTAGCAGAAAGTGTCCCTGCCCACGCCAGGGGGGTTGGAACGAAATGATCTTTAAGATGCCTTCCAACTCTAACCATCCTATGATTCCAAAATGGCACCAAAGGGCTCCTCCAGCTGGGGCTGGGTCACCGTCCCACCGTGGGCTGTCTGCAGCACAGAGCCACTGTCTTGCTGGCTGCCAGAGATCCCCCTGGGCAGACAGAGCTGGAGGAACCGGCTCAGGACAGAGTTTGCCACACACACGGAGCCTCCAGCACGGGTATGATCCAACCCAGAAGCTGCAAGGCCAGCAGCCCTACGTGGCTGCTCGGCATCAGGCATTACTGAATAAGGACAAGGAGGAGAACCCGGCCTTTCCGCCCGTTCCCAGCCTGTGGCTCTGCTTCCAGCAGCCTCACAGCTGTTGGGGCTCTCAAGTGCCCCTGGATTTATTCTGGCTGGTGGGGAGCCCATCCTACCCTCCCCATGAAACACAGCCCGCCTTGCCCCGGGCAGCGCCGGTGGCCGCAGAGCACGGCAGGGCAGCGAGAGCAGGCGGGAGCCTGCTTGGCTCCAGGGTCTCTTTCATTTTCTGGAACAAAGCAGCCTGTTTTCATCAGGAAGCGGTTGGCAGCATCCCACCCCCCAGAGATACAGGACCATCATCCAAGCTCTGCTCATTTTCATAGGCCTTTTTCTCCTGAATAGGCCAAGGCAAGCAATAGGCAAAGGCAGTCACGTGGACAGCAGTTTAATGAAGAACATATAAAAACTAGAAACAGAGGGAACGCGATGGGACGAGGAGGTGCCAGAAGGGAAAAGATGCAGAAGTAAGAAATGAGCAGAGATTTTCCACGGACAAAGGCCAAAAAGCAGGCGTGATCATAAACAAAGTGGCCTGTTTTCTGTACGCAGAGAAACATGTTGGAAATAGATGTATTTGATTTGCTTTACAGGTTGGAATATTTAATATTGGTCACCTTATACAAACTCAGATGATTTTACACGAGTGACAAGAGAGGTTTCATTCTGAAATGACTCTGTTGTTCTGAGGTTGTCTTAGAGATGCAGATCGGAGAAAATACTGAAGTTTTCAGAAATAAGAACCTGAGCTCGGGAAAACTGCAAGGAGATGCAGCTGTGGGCAGAACAAACACCTCCCCACGGCTCTCTGTGGCAGCGGCCGAGCCCAGGGCCCCCATGCCCAGCCCCAGGAGGTCCCGCGGGGGAAGAAGCTGGCGGGCAGCAGCGCCGTTCCTCCAGCAGCCCCCTCGCAGCCCCCTGCCAGCTGCAGCTCCCCCCCTTCTCTCCCTGGCGTTGGCGTGGGCCCGGGCAGGGGGTCGCCCGGGG